ATATTTGAGGATCAAATAAACACCAACACATGTAATTGTGTCATAATCCACTGAGGTTCCCTTAATGGTCAAATAATTGCTTAGGCATTTAATCAAAAAATAGGTCATGCTGTCACTTTCACTTTTAGTTTCAGGAATCCAGCCTCTGCAGATCAAAAATCATTCTGCAAACAACTTTTGCAGTAAAGTGTACACATTGACAGATGATTTCAATCTGGTAATCAGGGAGATTTACTAGTGATCATTTGTTTGTTTTAGATGTTTAATATCTATTTTTAAAGTCCCATGAAAGTTCAAGAATGCTGAATCCAACATATTTTAAGAATGCATTACCAATAAATGATGCATCTGCTCATTTTCCAGCTCCTCAAAACCCAGAAGACTTCAGACCAGCGACACAAGATGAGAGCAGCATCACTCTGCAGTGGAATAAAATCAACAACAGCACCAGCTTTGTTCTCCAGTTTAATGGATCAGAGACAAACATCAGTTCACCAGATGGAGATGGACCAGTAACTCACACAGTGTCATCTCTCACTGCTGGAACCAGATACACATTCACTCTCTTCTCTATGTCTGAGAGCATCAGAAGCAGTGGAGTCAGCATTGTAGCAGCTACAGGTTAGGAGTTTTCTCTCAGAAATCTGGTGATGGGGTTGGGTTTGTAAACAAAACTGTAAAATAAGGAAAAAATAAAGTAGTTTTCCAAAGAGTAATTTGCAGAGAATGTTTTATATGTCATTAATGAATAACACAATAGCCAAAATAGTGTCAAAAGTGGTGAAAAGGTTAAAAATCCAACAGTAATCTTTGTGGTTCATGTGAGATAATTAAGCTTCCTGGCTTTAAGGTAACATGCCATTTTCCCCTTCATTGTTTTCCCACTGAAGCTTGCTAAAAACTTTTGTCCTTCACAAAAAGCAGCTGCTTTCAGTTACATTTTCTTTTAAGTCCAGTCGTTGATTTTGTATTGTGTCAAACTGATTATTTATTGGTTTCTTACCAAGTGCTGACAAAGTGTAACACGTTTTCTTTCTCACATCACCAAACATCAATTTGCTGAAACCTGTGTGACCTGCAACCAAAGGACCAAGTAAGCGAATGCCAAAACACACAGCATGTTTGCACTAAATTTGTCTTTATGCCTTTTTACTTTTCATACCTGTATTTACTTTTCTTATTTGTTTTAATATCAATTGTGAAGATTTTGGTTCTGTTGTTTATTGCAGTGTGTTTTGTGTCTGTGCCCACAGATTATGTGGTTGCAATGGACATGCAGCTGGATTCTCTGACTGAACTCTCAGAATCGGAGATAAATGATGCTTTGGCAGAGGTAAAGCTAACTTCGGTTTCAGATCAGGTTTTTGTTACAGTAACTGAGATCTTTAATATTAACTTTATTCTTAACTTTCATTTAGTTCTTCAAAGGACAAGGAATACAGCCACAGTTTAATCTGAAGGTTCGTTTGGCTGCACCATAAGAAGAGAAAATCCAAGAAGAAGTGAAGGACAATGAGTTTGCAACATGCTTCTCTAATTGTTATAAATAAAAGGAAATGTTTTCTGTACATATTTTTCTGCGCTTTGGCTTTTATTGCACTGATTTATCACTGATTTCCTCAACACTTCTTAACTTTCCTCCTGGAAGCTCAAACATTTTTTCTATTGAGATACTGAATATTCATGCATATGTTTATTAATGCTTATTTGAGATATAGTCATGATGATGGAAAATCAATTAATAATCCAGAAAGCTGCTTTTGATCAATAACAACCGGGCAACTGGAACATCATAAACTGTAGTCTGTTTTTTAATCCTTGCCTTGTTTTTTTCCTTAGTTTGTCACTTCAGCGTATTTTTTGCTCGTTTGTTTTTCTTTTAATCCTATAAAGTAATTTCAGACAGACAGATTTTAGGCCTGATCAGTTGTTTCCAGCTGTACTACCTCAAGCTGTGTGCTGACTCTTGCTCTTTCAAGATTACCTGTGATGATGTCACTCAAACACAACTTAATGTTCTCAGACTGAATGTACTTGCCTCTTTTAATCTGGCATCTTTCATAATCATTTTTGTGGAAGAGATTAAGACTTAAATATAATCATGAATGTCTGTCAGCCAACAGAACTGGAAGGGAAATAAACATAAGGAAGGGAAACGCCAAGACGATCAAATGTGGCAGCTGGAAAAATTACTTCTAAAGGAAAATGAGCGCAATAAATGGACAGGCCGACACATGCCACAGTGGAAAAAGATCCCAGGTGCAGAAGCTGTGAAGCAGATTCACTGGCACAGCTGAGCTGCAATAAAGAATGGCAGCAAAAAAAAAAACTAGTTAAGTAATGCGGTCAACCTGGGGATTTCTTTCCTAACTCAAGGGAGCAGCTTTTACCTATTAAACGTATAAACGGGTGTTCTGGTATTTACATTCAAAACTAAAACACAGAACGATTTCACCTGTTTGGATTTTCTTTCATTCTAATCGTCATTCATCTGTTTCAGAGTCTCTTTTTGGAAACATTTACCGTTCATATTTTAGTTAATGAGTTTAAAAAAAACTGGTCAACGCGGAGTTCCTTTAAATCTAAACGTAAAACCCAGCTGTTTAGCGTTGCTTTTAAAACATAATCATGAAACATTAATCTGATGTGTGATGATGGCAAAGTGTAACGCTGTTGACTGCCTGTTCTATGACTTTGTATTTTTGTTTTTATGATGTAAAGCTCTTTAAAATGCCTTGTTGCTGAAATTTAATTGATTGATTGAACGAGTTGCACAAAGGAATATCCAAAACAGCAGGAATTGCAAATGTGTCCCTTTCCAACAAACATCAAGTTTTAAAAATGTGGGATGCAACTTTTTAACTTAAAATGTTGCCTATTCAGGATATCATCCCGGCTGTGCCTCCATTTTTGTTGCAGCCCTCAAAATGTAAGCTTAAGGCGCTACAGACTGCAATATAGGAGTCAACTTAACAATAAACTAGTTGAATAATTGTTTTTTGTTAGACATAAGTTATTTACCATTTTTGAAAACCAGTAAATTCCCTTTTAACTTTTTATTTTCTTAGTGATGTCAATAAACTGACCTCCAGCCATTCTAATCTAGAGATTGATTGTACTGGGGAATACTAATGACCATTTCTGGCTCCATGTGACGTGAGAAGAGCGCTGGTAAAACGGACCGGGTTTCAGGATATCCTCATTCTTTTAAATCTGGTCACACAAAAAAAACCCCACAAAAAACATTTATTTTTTTTAGATTTTCTTCCTGGTTCCTCTTTTTTGGCTGCCTCAAACATTTTAACGAGCTGAAGACCAGCAAACACATATTTTGGTTGCTCAGGATTGTGTGGAAGAAATTGTACTTAAAAAAAGTGAAACTTTTAATGGTAAGAGTATTACATATCGAAAATGTCCCCATTTCAGTACTAGACAAAATGGGATTTATAAAAAGTATTTGCTCAAGCTAGCATCCTGCTTGTTTTCACAGGTTTAAGCTATGGACTACAGACTGCTTCTCTTGGTGTTTACAGGTGAGAGACTTTTGATTCATGAGGTTCTTACTTTTTACTAATAACAGTACCTGAGCACTCTCTCAAATGATCATTTAAAATTTACAACACTATCTGATCTCCTTGTCTCCTTTGTGATCAATGTGCATTTGATTATTGCAATGTTATTCAATCCATGAACTGTTAGAAATTGCTAAAGAATTAGAAATTACACTTGTACTGTATGGCCTGTATTTCTTAAAACATTCCTTGAATTTTGATTATGGAAAATGAGGAGAAATCTTTCGTTTCTGTCGTTTTTTAAGCTGGCAGTTGACGCCACAAAAAAAATGCTCGTTTGGTTTTCAGATTTAATCCATCATAATAATCCATGTTATATCGAAGCTGACATGGTTTCGAATTTTAAAGATGTTTCAGAATAGCTGGAAGAAAAGGGAACCTGATCGCTTTCATGCATGCTAAAGCAGGCAAACACTTGAGAACCAGGGTTGAGAAACACAGATGCAACATAAATGGTTTGTAATTAAAGTTGTTTCAGGAACGCTGCTCCGGGTTTCTCTTGCCCAAACTCGTCAGTACTACTTTGTGAACACGACGCTGAACTGGACGGACGCTCAGAGTCTCTGCAGACGGGACTACGCTGACCTGGCCACCGCAGAAAGCACAGCTGATGTCGAGGCTGTTGTTAGAAGCGCAGCAGATTACACAGGGGAGTACCTAACAATGCACACACCTTTAAGACGTGCATGCTCTATGATTGATGCTCTAAATATGTCTAAACGTGTGTTTGTTGTTTGAACAGGTTTGGCATGGATAGGTCTCTATGATGACCTTGTAAACTCCTGGAAATGGTCCCTCAATGACAGCAGCTTCTATGGTGATGGAGAGCAAACATTTAGGAACTGGTACTCTGGTCAACCCAATAATCTAAATGGACAACAGCACTGTGTCATACTGTTGAGTGGGAGCTCATATTATGGCCAATGGGATGACCAAGAATGTGAGGAAGCTCGCTGGTTTGTGTGCTATAATGGTGAGTGAGATCAGAGGAGTCATTATTCATTTTAGATTATATGGTATGTGGAGATGGCTGGATGTTAAAGCAGACAACACTTCCAATTAACTGTGTACCCTAAATCACTGTCAGGAGTGTCTGCGCTTTAGCCACAAGATGAACTGGATTACAAAGTCTCTTTCTCTTACTGTCTGTCCTCTCCAAGCCAGATATAATTAAAACTGAAAAAGCAGCTCAAGTCCAAAAAAAAAATAAAAATACAGCTTTACATTTCAGTTGAAAATCCCTACAAACGTTACACCTTAGAGGATTTCTTTGTGAAGAAATTTGTACTGTTGGTGTTATTTTATCCTTCTTTTCTATTCATTCCCAGGTTCTGTAAATGGTTCACCGGTTTACATTTTAATTAATGAGTCGCTGAGCTGGACTTCTGCTCAGGCATTCTGCCAGGAGAACTACGTTGACCTTGCCAGGTACACATATTAGATTCAACAGAAACAGCCATTGTACAATATTGTTTATAAAACCTGGATTTAACTTGACATATTTTGCTCTGTTTTTTTTTTTTATGTGCTTACATTTTTCTGTATTGCTTTTCCAACTGAATATTTATTCTGTTTTTTTTTGTTTTTTTTTTCCTTTGTATTTATTTTTTGCTTCAAAATTTTTACTCGCTTATTTGGAGCAAATGCATATAAGGGGTGCAGTAAATATGTTTTAAGTGCCATTTTTACTGTATGGCGAACTTGCGTGATTACTCATCTTTTCGCTAACATTATAAATGTTTGTTTTTATGACAGTACAACAAGAAAAGTTACTGAAGTAGTTAAACAAGAAAGTTTCACTTGTTGGAAAAAAAAAGGCAGCATAACAAGATTCCCTGGCCTGGGAATCATGGAGAAGCATCCAAGTTTTAGAGAGAATGTTGTTTGTGTTTGGTTAACATTATTATTAAAGTACTTTTAAATATCGCAGTGTTCGCAATCAGAGCGAGAATGACATCATCTCAAACGTTGGAGGCGGATCATTCCTGTGGATCGGCCTGTACCGAGAAAAACTCTGGTCCGACGGCAGCACCTCTTTATTCCGAAACTGGGCGTTCGGTCAGCCGAACCACGGCGGTGAAGAGTGTATGGCAACACACTTTAATGAGTCTGGAAAATGGCACGATCAAGACTGCTCCCTGAGTTACCCGTTCATCTGTTACAAACCAAGTAATGTATCCAGTCTGGGTTGCAAATCAAGTTTTGTAGCTCAGTTGCAGTTATTTCTGTGCCTGGCAGATGTCACTAAAGTCTAAAAGTGAACATGAGACTGAAGAATCAGGCATTTCCAGCAGGAAATTATGTCTCCTTTATGCACAAAATAATGAGATTTATTTGTTGTATTTGGTTGATCTTTTTTCCCCCCTCAGTTCCACCCAATGCAGGAGGTTTCAGACCATCAACACAAGATGAGAGCAGCATTTCTCTGCAGTGGAATAAAATCAACAACAGCACCAGCTTTGTTCTCCAGTTTAACGGCACAGAGACATTCATCAGAGCAGCAGATGGAGACGGACCAGTGACACATACAGTATCATCTCTCACTGCTGGAACCAGATACACATTCATTCTCTTCTCTGTACTTGATGGCGTCAGAAGCAGTGGAGTAGAGCTTACAACGGCCACTGGTGAGATGTTTTGGTTTTGCTTTAACCATAATCATTTTGTGGATGTGGCCAAGCTGAGAATTGCGTCTTAAGAGTTTACCTTAAATAACTGGCAACAGCAACAATTAATCATTGGAAAATTACTGAGCTCATACTGATCTGGTCTGCAGTGAACACTTTGAATTTGCATGTCAGACAAACATGAGTTGTACCAAAAAGAGCACATCTGACATTTATGGAAAAAATATGGTAATAATGTCCAGTCTATCCTGTCTGACTGCTTCTGACTGAGCGCTTTTATGAAACACAAAGTCCTTCATTCATCTCCGCTGTCTTCTTCCATTTTAGACCTGCACCCATTCCCACCTTCAGCTTGTGATGAAGTGTTGTCTCTGTTCAAAATAAGAAATAGAAATAGGTCTACCTACCAACTGCTTAATTAGATAAAAGACATACAAATCTAATGGATAAATTGTACTCTACAAATAGAGGCTAAAATGAGATGTTTGACTTATGAATGTCAAAGATTAGATTGGAGTTAATTGGTCTCAGAAGTCAAAGGAAAATGTTTTGTTCCCTAAATTTAACTTAACTTTCATCTGAGAAAAAAAGAGAGATGGGTGAATGACATTTTGGAAGCACCAGGATCTGTTCAGCACCAGAACCGTCACATGAAAGCTCATTGTTGGCTCATTTATATAAGAGATTAGACTTCTCCACAGGGAGATAGACTGACAAGAACAATCAGTTTACAGTTTTGTCTTTTTTTTTGGCTTTCTTAGTGCCACAAAATGCTGAAGACTTGAGGCTAGCTGCACAATTTGAGACCAATGTCACTCTGCAGTGGAATAAAGTCAACAACAACACCAGCTTCATCCTCCAGTTTAATGGCATAGAGAAACTCATCGATGCTCCTGATGGAGATGGACCACTAACTTACACAGTCTCACCCCTGTATCCTGGCACTGGATTCACTTTCACTCTCTTCTCCGTGATTGAGAACGTCAGAAGCAGCGGAGCACGACTTACAGCTGCCACTGGTAAGATGCCTTACTTTGTCTCATCTTTACTCTGGAGGAGTGCATGCTGAGTGGAATTGCATAACTAAAGTGTGTTTCCTAAGAATGACCAGTATTTGTTTGATGCAAAACAGAGTTTGAGTTCATGTGCTGTGAGGTTGAATTTGCATCATGACAAATATCAACTGCAGTATCACAGAGATACCAGGAAAAACCACAAGCTGCTGTACAGCCACACTGGCAGTGCAGTTGCCTTCTTGCAATTACTAACAGCTAGCATAGTTAGCATTCCTAAGACATGTTTTGTGATGGAAATACTTTCACTAAGAGAAGCTACTTACTCGCTAATTGTTCTTGGACCAATGTGTTCATTTTGTGCACATTTTGTGAATTCACTGTTCTTTAGTGAACTGGTCTATTTAAGCTGTAGTAACATGCTGACTCATGATTCTCTAATGTTTAACTAAAAACGAGTTTGTTGATCACAGACTCAGATTAAGTAGCAATAAGTTCTGAACTTCGGTCACACCTTAGTCGTCGGCGTTCTGTCACCAAATCCAAACCTTTTAAAGATTCAGAATATTTGTTTTTGCTTGTTTTCATATCACTCATCTCTAATAACATATCACAGGTGCTTGTTCTACGTCTCTGTCTTAGTGCCTGAACATCCAAGCAACTTCAGAGTATTTTTGCTTTATGACACCAACATCACTCTGCAGTGGGATAAAGGCAACGCCAGCTTTGTTCTCCAGTTTAATGGATCAGAGACAAATATCAGTTCACCAGATGGAGCTGGACCAGTAAACTACACAGCTCTGTCTCTCACTGCTGCAACTAGATACACATTCACCCTCTTCTCTGTGTTTGAGAACCTCAGATCCAGGGGAATTAGCATCACTCAAGTCACCGGTAAGAAGACGAGCTGTAATAAAGCCAGTGTAATAAATATTTAAGCAAAATAATATTAAGTTATGCAAGATCAAGGATCCCAATAAATCATCCTGTACTGCAGCCATATTCCTGAATGTTCAGAAGTTTGTTTGTTTTTTTCAGCATATGGACGCTAAATGCAGATCCATTTATTGCAACCACTTACTTCATGATTTAACTTTCAAATTTAACTTGTCTCAATTTCAGCTCCTGAAAGACCCACAGGATTCACAGTATCAGCACAAAATGAGAGCAGCATCGCTCTGCAGTGGGATAAAGGCAATGACAACATCAACTTTGTTCTTGAGTTTAGTGGCAGATACACAGCCATCAGTGCACCGGGTGAAAATGGACCAGTAACTCACACAATCCCATCTCTCACTGCTGGAACCAGATACACATTCATACTCTTCTCGGTGTTTGAGAACGTCAGAAGCAGTGGAGTACAACTTACAGCTGCAACTGGTAAGTTTCATTTCTGTTTTAGTTTGTCCTACTAATAAAATCTTAAAAGAAAACCTGTTGTGTGTTTTAATTATTAGTAGTTATTGTCATTGCTTAGTGAGATGACAAAATCTCTCATTATTCATGTGACAGACACATGGATGAATTGTGAATTTTATTCTGTATGTTTGCTGTTACTACCGTCTTTCAGTAGACGCACTGTCGTTTATTTATTTTTTTGTTTTCCTGGCTCAGCTCCTCAAAATCCAGAGAACTTTAGACCATCAACGCAAGATGAGACCAGCATCACTCTGCAGTGGGATAAAATCAGCGACTTTGTCGGCTTCATTCTCCAGTTTAACGGCACAGAGATAAACGTTGGTGCGCCAAGTGGAAATGAATCAGTAACTCACACAGTCTCATCTCTGACGGCTGGTACTAGATACACGTTTGCTCTCTTTTCTGTGTTTGACAACGTCAGAAGCAGTGGAGTCAGCATCGCAGCATCTACTGGTGAGATCATTTGCTTTTTTAAATATGTGGTTAAATAGTCCTCGTAAATGTTTCTTGCGTCACGTAAAAAATGTGACAATTACTAGCATTTAAGGTAATTTATTTCCTTTTCTTTTTTTCCCTTGCTCCACACATCTGTCCATAGGGCCAAGTAAGTAAATGCAGCTCTGAAACTTAATCCAGCCATATTTTCATCAGTGATGTTTGTTTTTTCCAGTTCAACACACTTTCAAAATGTTGTTTCTAGCTGCACTGATGTATGTAACTTTGCTAAGGCAATAACTTTGCTTATTATGTTAAAAAAGCTAAGACCAGTGTTGTCCCAGTTAATACTAACAAGAACTATTTGTTCAGTCAGTCCAGGCAGCTCATAATGAATTAACTTATGTTCAAAGTTCACCACTGATATATTTTAAAACTTTGCATTGAAATGAGTTATTTTTCATTTATCATAATAAGTCTGAAATAGAGTGTAAATGCATGGGATAATGACTGCAGTCACTTTCAGTCCCCATTTTTGCATTTTTCTTTTTACCAGATTACATTGTTGCTTTAAACATGAACTTGAAGTCCTATGATGCATTGTCAGAATCAGAAATTCAGACTTTTGTGACGGAGGTAAGATTATTTGTTTATTTGTTTATTCAGTAGATTAATCAAACCTTATTTTTCCTGACGTGACATCTTCTTGTTTTTACAGTTCTTTCTTAAACGCGGTATCCTGCCACAGTTTTCCATGAGGGTCAAATCTGTCGAGCCTTAAGATGAGCAGAGGAACATTTTTCCTGGAGGGAAAGAAAATAAATAATCACGAGAAAATATTTTGTCAAATTTTTAAATGTACAGAAAATAAGTATCAAACACATCACAATTTTTCATGATAATATTTCTAAAGGTGTTATTTACATAAAATTTTCACTAGTGGCGAATAACAACCCATTTAATCCATGCATAGAAAGAAATAAGTTCAGAAATTAAGTCATTTGTAATAATGTGAAATGACACAGGGGAAATGTGTTGAACACACACAGAAAGGGAGCTGATGTCTTGGAAAGCCTAAACATCCTAATGGCCTTGGTTACAGAATGATTTCTAAACTTCTGAATGTACCAGTGAGAACTGGAGAGAATATTCAACAATAAATTGGTGGCCACTGGTGCTCCTCATTAGATTTTTGACAGAGTGAAAAAGAATAGGCAGAAAAGTTGTGCAAAAAAGGCCAAGGAATGACCACTTTTGTTAGAGCAACATGAAGACCTAAAATTAGCAGGTGCAGTTGATTAAAAGAAAACGATATTAATGCACTCATCCATGCAAGACTCCACTCCTGAAGAAAAAGCATGTTGCAGTTTGATTTCTTTGCTTATAATGTTCTATAGTTATTGTGTTCCTTAAGTTTTATCTGATAATGTATTTATTATTTTGTAAAGCTAGTTATCATTTGCATAAGAAAGCTTTGGTGCACGGCATTTGGACAACTCTGTCTGTAAATAACCCCAAATTAAGCTCCTTATTTGTTGTATTCCCTCTTGGCGCTTCTTACCTTCATTTCGTTTTGTTTTGTGTAGTATATGGTTGACTTCCGGTTTTTGATTTGATGCTTTTATTTTGGTGAGAGTTTCCGCTGTTTATGTTGTGGAGCGGCAGCTTGGCAACGGAAGACAAGTTGCGACAGTGTTAGAAAAATGAATCTTGTTATTAGCGGCCCCCTTGATATGATCACAAGGTATGTTTATTTTGAGAATGAGGATGTTTCTAATATTGATCAGCTGGAATTGTGAATTTGTTTTATTGTAACCAAATAGCGTATAGTTTTTGAATCAGAGTCGATATTTTTAGTGGTGAACGTTATTTTTAGTTTTCAAACGTTACAGTTGTAAGAGCGTGGTTTGTAGCTTATACTGTGTGTGTGTGTGTGTGTGTGTGTGTGTGTGTGTGTGTGTGTGTGTGTGTGTGTGTGTGTGTGTGTGTGGGTGTGCGCGCGCATCTCTTACGGTGAAACTCAGGGTTTTACTCCCAATAAACTTCACAGCCACAGTCCTTCATGGCGGGGGGTTTCTGCAATACTGTCAAATACTGAAAGAATATAGTTTGGTCAAATGAGGACAAATTTGATGAAAGCTCATATTCAAGCATGAATATTAAATAATTACTTCTATCCTCTATTTCAACCTTATTTGGAAGGAACAGAAACGCAGGGTGACGCCTTTATGCTTCACTGAAACAAAAAATATGCCTTGTGCAGAATGGTTTTGCAGTCAGACGAGATAAGAATGTAGCTACTATTTAGCCACATTGGTATCAACATAGAGGAATCAAGGCTACTAAATCAAAGCTCCCTGCACCAGTGGTGCAGGCTCACTGCTCTGCAGCTATTTTGGAGGACAAATTGAGTGGAGTAACACAACAATGATCCATTATGTATACTGGCAACACCGGACCTCCATGTGCTGTCAATTACTACATAGTTTACTTGTAATCCTGGAAAATGTAAAGTCCAAATAATCCATGTGCCGAAAAGCATTATGGGAACGGTGTTATATTGTTGCCTTAAATATGGAGTTGGAGTCCTATGGGGAGCTGACAGAATCAGCTGAGATTATTTGTTTGTTTGTTTAATATGTTTAATAAACCCTTTTTTTTCCTGACCTCTGGTGTTATTGTTTTTACAGTTCTTTCTCTTAAGTAAGGTGTCCTGTCACAGTTTTCCATGAGGGTCGAATCTCTCAAGCCACAAGATGAGCAGAGGAACATTTTCCCGAAGAAAAAGAACATTTATAACCACGATGAGAAAATATATTATCACATTTTGAAATTGCATCATCTATCAGTCATAAATTAATTAAAAATCGTTCTCACAACACACTTTATTAAGTCATGTTTTCCCTTTTTATTGTATCATTATCTTGTTCTTGGGTGAATTTTTCAGTGGAAAATTTGACTTGACCAGTACAGTTGGATATATTTAGAAAAATCCAGGAAATATTTTACAAATCAAATAAATTTCTGCTCCCGGTGTGGACTTCACCCCTCCCACTATAGAGCAGCATGGGAAAAAAAAAATTCCCACAAGGAGTGGTAACAGCTAAATGGGAAGGACTTTGGCTTGACAGCCACAATGCCCAGTGTTTGCCTTTGCTCCAGGCGAGGTCATCTTTCACATTCAGGGATAAAAAGGTAGGATAAAGACTAAAACATAACAAAACGCTGGAACTGAACACTGAAACGTACCAGGAATGTGATTTACCTTTGATTGATCCTCATAGAGACAAATGTAGAAGGACAAATGATTAAATCAGAAGCTGACTCTTCTAGATGAAAGTTAAATATGTCTTGCATAACAAATTAAAAGGTTTATAGATTGATATGTTTGTGTTTAAGGGAAAAGAGGAAGTGCGTAAGTGTTTTAGTTTTATGTGCTGTCTAATGTCTGAAAGAGAACCGAAACAGAGAGTGAGATACTGAGTCATTCGTCCAGGCAGGTGGACTTTGGCCAAAAAGTCTTGCTGAACTGATTCAAGCCAATGATCATATAAATCCGCAGTAACTGACAAACCTGTTCAGATTCGTTAGGTGTTTCATTATTTAGTTTCATTATTATCTCATTTATTTGAAGGTTCCTGGAGATGAAACATAATTTAACATAAAGGCCTTTAACTCCACATAACTATGACAGACTTGGTGAAGCAGCAGCTGGTGTTGTTAACAGTTCAGATGAAACTTTGCATTCAAGATTAAGCCTGAATTTGCTCAAAAATTGCATTCATAAAACGCAGACACAAATAATGGATAATAATGACTGGTTGTTTTTGACGGAAAGTGGTGCATTTCTTCAGACTTCAATGGTCGCACTGGAAGGACTTGATCATTTCACAGATTATCTGTTAAGTTAACCCCACGGTTCTTCTTCCCCCTTTTGAGGTCATGGCTTCCCATGGCTTATTTCTGTCCAAGGAGCAGTTTCAGTGCTGCATCTGCCAGGATGTTTTCTCCGAGCCCGTCTCCATCCCCTGCGGTCACAGCTTCTGCTTCACCTGCATCAAGGCCCACTGGGAAGGCAGGCTCTCCATCGACTGCCCCAGATGCCACACAGAGTACAAGGTCTGCCCGGAGCTCTGCGAAAACTCTTTCGCCAAAGAAATGTCGGAGAAGATCCGAGCCGGGAGGCAGGACGGCGTGCCAGGGATGACGGTCAGCTGCGGCGCGTGCGTGGGGAAGCAAACGAAGGCCCTGAAGTCCTGCCTGGTGTGTCTGACCTCGTACTGCGAGAGCCACCTGGAGCCTCACCTCAGGGTTGGCGCGCTGAAAGCTCACAAGCTGATTGAACCGGTGGAGATGCTGGAGAATCGAGTGTGCAGGAGGCACCAGGAGCTCCTGGAGCTGTTCTGCAGAAGTCACCAGAAGTTTGTTTGTGTGCAGTGCGTCAAAACTGACCACCGCTGCAATGACACGGTCCCACTGGAACGAGAGAGCCAGGACAAGAAGGTGACTCTTGAGAGGCTATAATCTTAAATCCAGAGAGATTTTTGACTAGAGCTTTGAGCACGTTTTCTGCTTTTAGGGTCAGATTAAAATGATTCAAGATGAAGTTCAGCAGAGGATCCAGGACAGGCTGCAGAAGCTGGAGGAGATCAGACACAATCTGGAGCTAAGCAAAGTGAGTTGATCCTGGACAAATTCAAACTATTAGAGGGATACACCACAGTTAATTCACAGAGTATAATAAACAGAGAGATTGCTGCTCCAATTTACAAATATTCCAACATTTCAACCTGATTTTCAGTTTTTATCACTCACCCGCAGGAGAACACAAAGAGGGACATTGAGGAAAGCGGGCAGGTCTTCTCCGCTCTGTCCCGCAGCATCGAGAGAAGTCGAGCCGAGCTGATCGAGTTGATCCAGAGGAAGCAGAAGGCGGCAGAAATGAGAGCGAAGAGGCTGATCGCAGGGGTGGAGACAGAAATCTCTGAGCTCCTGAGGAGAAGAAGGGAACTGGAGCAGCTGCTTCACCACGAAGACCACCTCCACGTTCTGCAGGTCAGGAGTTTACAGGTTGAAAGTATGTCTGAGTTTTTTGGGTGTGAGTTCATTCAAGACAACTGGTCCAAGTGGCATCAGAACCATAGTCAGGTGTTTGAAACACAAAGTGTGAGAGATAATGACAGGCATAGTGACATACTCTAATCAGTATGTCTTGATCTGACTTCTTGGCTGCAGAGCTTCCCGGCTGTGAGCTCTCTTCCGTCTACCGAAGACTCATCAGACATCGTCGTCCATTCAGAAACATGCCTGGGAACCATAAGGAGAGCGGTGGCTGACTTTCGGGAGCAGCTGCAACTGCAACTGGACAAACTTTCCTCTCGAGGTTTGTCGGATCAGCAAAGCATCTCGTAATTTTCTTTATTTTTCACCTTTGAGTCGATTGAGGATGTTCTCATTGGCTTTCAGAATACGAGAAGATCCAGCAGTATCCAGGTAAAGCTTCACTGACTTTCAGGTGTTTTAGTATTGCCTCTCTTTTTTGTGTTTTATCCCAATTAAATAAATGTACACAAATTTAAGGTTGAGTTTATAAGATGTCTTTGCTGTAGTAAAAGATTCATTTGCAATTAACTTGTGGTTTGTGGAAGGCGGAATCGTTTATATTTCAGTCCTGTAATCATGATTTGAGTAAAAACGGAAAGATGAACACTCCTCTGCTGTGATCTCCTTCTGTCCACCAAGCTGATGTCCTTCTGGACCCCAGGACGGCCAACCCCTGGCTCGTCCTGTCAGAGGACGGGAGGCAGGTGCAGGACGGAGACGTGATGCGAAATGTGGCAGATCTCCCAGAACGTTTTGACAAAGCTCCTTGTGTCCTCGCTCTCATGGTAACAAAAGCATATGATGTGTTTTAAGTGTGCGATGCCTCGTTGTGTTATCTAAAGCCTAATTCTTGTCTCTGCAGGGTTTCACCACAGGGAGGCGCTACTGGGAGGTGCACGTGGGAGACAAAACGGCGTGGGACTTGGGCGTGGCTCGAGCGTCCGTGAAAAGGAAAGGTGCTGTGACTCTGAGTCCAGACGACGGTTTCTGGACCGTCTGTCTGAGGAAAGGAGCTGAGCTCTGGGCCTGTGCAGGAGAGGCGGAGCTGCTGTGCGTTTCCAAAAGGCCAAAGGTCATTGGCGTGTTCCTGGACTATGAAGATGGGGTTGTTTCTTTCTACAATGCGGAGACCGGGTCACACATCTATTCATTTACAGGGTTTCGCTTCACCGAGGCCATTTTTCCCTTTTTCAACCCGGATACGAACGAAAACGGCACCAACAAATTGCCTCTGACCATCCAGCCCATCAGGAAACGGATCTTCGGCACAGATTTAGATGACATCACTATATGATATTTTAAATATGTATCCGGCAGCAACGTTTTATTTATTATACCATTTATGTTAACATTGTTTTGCAAAGCTCCCTGTGCATTTATCAGCACTCCACCAGTACTGTAGCCTTATTTAATTATTCAATGTAATGCCTAAAAATACTCCATACAAAAAAAGCTTTATTTGTACTGAAAAAACAACAACAGAGAAATGCAATGTTTTAATTTGAGTTGATTTTTTGGACTTGTATGTGATATGGCGTCACACAGAGGCACTGAGGAAAAAATGAGGAGCAAATGTAATCACATTAATTTTCTAGACAAAAATTTTGAAATTTCTGAGTTTCAAAATTTCTGAGTTTAAAGTCGTAAATTGTTTTCCATAAATGTATTTTGCATCTTTTTACACATTTCCACCAGAGATGGCGCTGTGTTGCTACCTTTTGCCGTTATCTTGGTAATAATCTAAGTGCAATTTACTGCTTACCTGTCACAGTAAGCCACATTTTTGTGAAATGCAGTTTGTTGTATTCTGTGTGGGAATTAAGAATGTAGAGAAATAAAATGTCTTCATTGTGGAAAAAATCCGTAAATCTGAAATAAAAATTCTACAACCGCACTTTGATATAAATATGTGATGCTTTTTTTATGCTGCTTTAGTATTCTAGTAACAGAAAAGCTGTTGCATATCTGTTACTCTTCTTCTTCTCCACACCTGAGCACTGTTACACAGATCTCAGCCTCTCTCCACAGATCTGTAAACTAACATCACAGCACATGTTCAAATTAAACAACCTGACGCCTGCTGCTGATCAGATTAGTCCAGAATAGGATTAGCCTCAAGGCAGATGGAGCGCAGAGACACTTCTTCCCTCCTATCATTTTATTTTTGTTGCGCTTTTACTAGTTAAATTCTCTATTTTTGCACAGGTTTTACCGAACCGTTCTAAAAAATATATATACATATTTTAGCGACTGCGATTTAGAAAGGAGTTGGATTTGGATCGGTTAGATTAACCTTAAAGGAAGCAGCGGAGGAATTATAAAGAGTTGAGGGATTAAAAGTGTCATCCAGGCTCTGGGCGGAGACACACAAATCTCACAGGCCTGCAGGCTAACACCGGCAAACATTTGTCATCTCTTTAGGAGACACTCTGATGAGCAAAAGATGCGGGTAAGTCAAATATATTTACTCAAATACTTTGACTATATAGAGGTTTATTAAAGAGTATATCACATATCGTCATGTTTTGTGTCTGGGTTTTGTTTCACCAGCTGCTCAGCAATGCGTTTAGAATCTGCAAAGCACAAGTCATTTCTCTCGTTAATTTGATTCCTTTTGTCAGCTTTTATGGCGTGTTTCATCAATATGGGGTGCATAACTCGCTCACAATTAATTTCACAGAAGTCCTTTCACTGGGGAAGCGATGCGAGCTCTCTGATTGGCTGAGGTTGAAGTAGAAAAGGCGTGATGTCGCTAGTGGTGGACGAGACGGCGGGGGACCTTCCGGTGAGGGACGTGGGGCTGATGAGGGGCGGGCTGATGCCCACCGTGCCAGGTTTGTGTTCACACAACACGGAACTGTGTTTTTATGGTTTTATTGCCGTAAAAGGACAGTATTTATGTCAGCAAAAATGCATAATACTTCCTTAAAATTAATCATCACCCCAACATTCAAATTAAACTCTAGTTTTAATGTAATTTACTGCCCTACCAGTAAGCTAAAATTAGGCATTTTATTTATTTATTTTTTTTTTTTTTGCAGAAACGTAAACCAGTCATCTGCAACTTTGTGCAGTTAACCCTTTCATAAAAAGGTTTCAAGTTGTTCTCTTCATACTAAAAGAGCAGATATTTTCCCAGGAATGTGTGTATTAAAGTAGCTTCAAGTTGGGATTTTAGAAAGCTGAAACTGCAAAATAAATTTTCTGTGAATGCACTGTGAGGCTCTCTGTTGGTTATTTGTCATCTTTGCTGTTTTCCCAGATACACTGCGGGATGTCAGGCCATGGAAGAAGCATCATTCTGCAAAGATGAAAGGTAGAATGACTTTCACAAACATCATCTTGCACATTTTGACTCAAATGATCATGACTCTGCTTTGTGTCCAGCGGACCCCCAGCGGCTGTTTCGGTTTCCCAGAGATCATCTGGAGGACCTGTGTCTCCGGCTGCAGGAGGAGAACAGTGTGCTCAGGCAACACACACGGACACAGGAGGAGAGGCTCCGCAGGTAACACCAGCACTGCTGGAACCACGAGTTTCTAATTTAAATAAAATGTTGTACCATAATAACTACCCTAAGGTAGTTTACTTTGGATGTCATATTATAATGGCAGGCTATAATCATGACCATAGATGTGAAATAGTAATTTCCCATGTGAAATATCGCTGACAGTATTCATGGAGAACTATCTATTTCATTAGCTTTCCCTAAGTCCTCCTTCCATCCTCTTGTCTGACCCCAGGATGTCCACGAAGCTGATGCGTCTTCGTCAGGCCCGTCCCGGCTCCGGTCCTGTCAAGGAGAGGGACATGGAGGATACGATCCAGGAGCTGGAGGCCCGGGTGGCGGTGCTGGAGAGCCAGAAGGAGGTGCTGCAGAATAAACTCGGCATAGCCAAGCAGCACATCCTGGACCTGGGGGCTCGAACGCCTTACAGGTACAGCAAAGGTGAGGTTTAAAGAGCCACTTCCTAAAAATCTGACTCCATTTCTGGCATCATTGTTCAAAGTCGTGTCTTTACCACATTATTCATTCATTTACAAATGTCATAGTTTAAAGTTATAACTGCAATCTAAATATTCATAGTTTGGAGCAAAATATTAACTTGCTAAGTAAATATTTAGTTAAGCTAAACATTTAGCAAATATTTAGCTTGCTAGCTAAATTCTTGGTTTGAGGCTAAATATTTAGCTTGCTAATTAATAGTTTTAAATTGTGAATTTATAAATTACTAATATGATTAAAATATAACTATAAGAAGCGAATCTCCCCACTCTTATGACATGCTAAATAATATAAATTAATGCTGTTAAATTTTGACTGTGTACATTTACAAATGGCACTCTACGTAAATCTCAATGGCTTTCATGCATATGAGTGGATGTGAACCCTTCAGGACTGTAAGGACGTTCTTCCCCTTCATGTGTTTAGGTAAAAACCTGGACGGAGAGGCCAGAGTCCGGAGGGCGGCACGGACTGCTCCTGCACGATACGGCCTCACGCTGGAGGAAACCAGAGCAGAAATGGAAAGATTGTAGGTCAAAAAGGATTAAATGTCCTTCTGCTTGTAATCCAACATAAAAATCCGTCCTCATCCAGCAGGTCCAGTATGACCGAACAGGTGAGGATGGCAGAACTGGAGGTGACAGCTCAGGCACTCCGAGAAAGCCTGAAAGACAGGGAGAGAGAGATGGAGGGGACGGTCAGAGAGCTGAGGAAGCAGCAGGCCGACAGACACAGGTAGACGTGAATACATAAAGAGGCCGCGTCTGAATCACGTTACGTCTTCTAACTGAAAAATAAGGCCGATACCCAAGCCTGTTTTAATCGCAAAAGTGCATTTACTTTGGAGTAAAACTTGTGCTACTTGTGTCAGGATCACAATCAGAGAGAATGTGGACCTGATCCGTCTGCAAAAGCAGCTCTCTGAGAAGTGCACGGCCCTGAGGGTCAGCCAGGAGAAGTTTGCTGACCTGCAGGAGGTGAGACCCTGCTCCTGTCTTCCGTTCATTCTGCACATCATCAGTCTTCCTCATTAACACTCTAATCCTCTCACCGACCTCCTGCACGCGTCTGACTGTAGGCGTACGAGAATCAGCTGGAGGAGGTAAGGGCCTGAGATACAGTCTGATGAATAAACCAGTGAGTAATGAACAATCCTGCTTCCTGTGTTCGCTGCAGAGTCAGAGGGCGCTGAGGGAGAGTCAGGGAGCTCTGCTGGAGAAGGTGGAGGAGCTGACCGAACAACTGAAGCAGGAGAGACAGAGAGCTCTGACCCAGGAGGGGCAGCTCACCACCATGTCTCTGTCTCTGCAGACCCTGGACAAGGTAACACATCTGGACCATTTGCAATGCTGTCAGGCTGGAACTCATTTGGCTCATTCTCCATCAGCTCCAGGAGAGAATCTCAGACCTGGAGGGAGAGAGGGATCTGATCAAAGACAGCTACGATACTCTACTGAAGAGGTAGGGTCCATAATGGGTCTCTTTTTGTGAATTCTAGGCTCAAAACATATTTATTTTGGTGATTTGTTTTGTGTTTGCCAGCACTTTAACTGCCCAGAACCCCTCTGAGAACCCTGCTGAGACACGGAGGGAGGTGGAGCAGAAGGAGGAGCGGCTGGTGGAGAACATCTTCGGACCAGATCTCCACCACAGACTGGAGGAGATGCTGCAGGAAGAGAGGGAGGAGAGGAGCAGGCTGGAGCTGGAAAAGGAGAAACTCAGGCAAGAGAAGGAGATGCTGGAGGAGCAGAGGAAGCAGGATGAAGGTGAGACCGAAAGCTCATTTAGTTTTCCATTAAATAAAATGTCTGACGCTGCAAAGTGAAAATTGAATTTAATTCCATTTAGAGCTGTCTGTACTGATGAGGGAGAAGAAAGAGCAACTGGAGAAAGAGGTTGGCCAGTACAGAGAAAAGGTTTCTGCTCTTCAGGACAGGCTGGACTCCGTCACTAAGGTCAGAAACGAACAGACGATCCACAGATGTCTTCCTTTCTCTGAGTTTTCCTCCTCTAGTTTAATCTGTCACACACTTCCTCTCCTATCCAGGGGTTTGACTTGAGCGTTGAGGAGCTCAGCGAAACTCTTTTGCAGATCAAGGTTTGTCGTGCTTTCTCCCGACACATAACGAAATATAGCTCTTAAGATCTCATAACAGGTTTCATGTTTTTCCCAACCGCAGGCCTTCAGGATGCAGCAGGAGAGCAGGGAGGCTCTGGGCTTCCTGGTGCCTGACGGCGGCGTGGACGATTCGTCCCGTGAGCTGGTCAACATCCAGGCGTCGCATGCAGAGACGGTGCTGGAGCTGCAGAAAACCAGAAACCTGCTGCTGCTGGAGCACAAGATCACCAAAGACCTGCAGGTACACGCACAGCGTTAAATGCACACACACACACACACACACACACACAAAAAAATAACAAAACGACTGAGAAATTTAGAGATATATTTCGTCTCCAAGGAAGAGTTAAACATGATCAACCAGAAGGTGGAGAGAGAGAGGGAGGAGGGCAGGAGGAGGACAATGGAGAAAGATAAGCTTCTGTCAAAGAGAGCTCTGCAGATCAACACGCTGCAAGGTAGGGCA